AGGCTGTTGTCCATGCAAACGATTTGAATAACGGTCGAGGGATTAGGGAGGACGGCCAGAAAATCTATGTCAGTCATCGCTGGGCAATCGTCGCCTAGCTTCCGCTGCGCCGATCCCACATTAGTGACTGTTTTATTAATAGCTGAACCATTGAGACGACAGTTCGCTGCGGTAGCAACATCCTCATTTAATCGGTAATATCGATGATAATCCGTTTTAACAAGAAAAAGAAACAAGTTTAAATGTGAAGTTGGGATTACGTTAAATAATATGTAACGTTCTATGTAATGAAATTAAACATTTGGAATTTATAACAACGATAACATTTAAACTCATTTTAATGCAAGATAAAGAGACGAAGTCGCGAGCATAAGATAGTTTAATATTTAAAATTCGACCAATTTAGATATAATCACTATCTCATTGTACATCGAGTGAGGTACATAACTAGCACCTGTTAGCTTTCCTGCTAATAGCCGGTAGCAATTTCACATGAGCGGAAGTTTCGAGATGCATATGTTATGTTCGTGGATAATCAGCTCGAGTTTATAAAATGCAGCGTAAATATCCGAACATTAACATGTTTATACTTAGCGTTAATGAACCGGAACCGAACCCTTATTTAACTATCTTCGTACGAACAAATTTTAAAGTGATATAACTACAACTTCTTTTGTGTTTGCCATAATACCAATTGACCAATGCAATAATAACAAAAATTTATTAAACAAAACAAAATTAGGCTATAATTACATCTACATACTAAAAGCGTAAAATTATTTTGTGCAGCAATAATGGGTACTTAAAAATAATCTAAATAAAAATCATATAAATATACATTGAATCAGAAAGAAAGCTGAGAAGTCTACACAGATTAGTCCGAAGATACAGATGAGTGAGTAGAATTTATATTCAGTAAAGTACTGCATTCGTATTCACCATCAATCGAGTGCCACGTAAAAGAGATAATATAAAATTTATAAGTATTACGGCAATTAATTGCAAGGCGTTACGAAATCCCACTCCCTATCAAATGTCTGGCACAACCTGGTGACGCAGTAAATTGAAAAAGTCCATTAGCTCATTCCCATTAGCGTTGTTTTAATGAAAAGAGATCTGAATGCTTCTTCGGATTAAAAAAAAATCATTTTGAAATTCATACAAAAGACATGAAAATACATGAGACGTTTCATAAAATTGTTCTTTAGTTAAAATTATCATCAAAGAATCATTATACTCCTGCCAATATCGCAAAAATCATGTTTGGTGTATGGGAGCCCCCCTTAAAAAAATTATTGTTTTTTTTTTTAGAATTTGTTGTTTTAGCTTGTTTAAAACTGTCTAACTATCACGGTCATGAGATACAGCCTAGTGACAGACGGACACACATACAGACAGAGAAAGCGGAATCTTTGTAATAGTGTCGCGTGTACCCTTTGTGTATGGAACCCTAAAAACTATCAGACTTATAACACGCATGAAATTATAATTATAAGATGAGGTGGGATGGCAGTCGGGCGCTGGCCAGTTTTGGTACAGTAAAAAAAATAAGCGATATAAAAATTACGGTTGACAAATCAAATGACAACAGTATTAGTAGAAACGAACGTGACCATACTCCTGAGCACATTGTACGGCAGCTTCGTAAGTTGTTACCTGTAATTAAACAACTTTGGTCATATAGTGGCTTTTACTTCCACGTGTGAGTTAGACATCAAGAGTTATGTAGAGCAGAAATTATTCATTACACAGTGTAACTCGCACCCCCCTTTGTTGCGTATATATAATTAAAACTTATATATTTTTTCCCCCATTATATGAATAAATCATATAACATCATTACGTGACCAGGATAAATTATTGATCTTTCTAAAGGTAATAATTAGCCGTATGAAATATTATTGTGATCGTCATGTTCGGTAGGACCGCATTTACGTTGTGTTTATTTAGTAACTTGATTCTTTTAGGTGAATCTTGGATAGATAAATATTCACTAGTTGTGGTATAAGCCAGAGATAACGCTAGATTGCTTTCTTATTAACTAATCCCGACTCGCTTGAGACGGGCTCAGAGTATATAGTATACTCCCTCTCACGCTTGTAAAGGGCTCACAATATAATTTTTAAACTAATATCCCTTCTCTCTTGAAAAGGGCTCACATCAATTTCACATACCCGATACAAGTCAACAGCTCCCCCACATTTAAAAAAAATGTAGGGAAGGCACACGGCTCCATGAAAACACTCACCAACGCCGTGTGCAGTGAGCGCCATCCAACATATTGGACCGAAGTCCATTGCAAAGCTGTTTTACCAGCATAAAGAGGGCTTGGCCCCTTGGCAGTGCGTAAGCACAAACTTTGACCGAAGTCGCGCATGTCAATGCGTGTAAACGTCATACAAGCCGACGACAAATCCAGTCTTCGTGAATGTACGTCAATACGGTTTTGGGCATGTGTTAAAAATCAGGCACTCTGGCCCTATGATATAATAAGCCCTCCGTAAGCGCCACCACTTTTGCCAGATCGCCGCGACTGCAGACGTGATTGTTAGTGTTTTGGCATCACCACCATTAAAAAAGTTAGCACGACATTTCGTCGCAGTCGAGTCACTGCTCACCCCAAGGGTATGGTTAAAAAGTTGCACGGCATCGCCGCAGCCTTGAGAGGTTTTCTCCCGCCAGCTACCATCCACATATAGAGGTAAACGCATATGCTCCACCAACCATTGAAATAGTCAGATATAGCCATAGTTGTGATTTTTATGTTTAGCCATCAGAAGGGTTTATAATTGGCAACATATATTTATTTGTCAGTGTCTCTGAGGTTGAGTATAGTGTATTTTCGATCAAGTTTGTCTCACCCACCAGCAAGTTGCCATTATTCGTTCGAACGGTGGGAACTTTACTGAGATTCGTTAATTATGTTAAAACGTATAAGAGAGGTCAGACAGTCTGCAGTTCCGTCATCAGGAACCCGACTTGGACAAAACTACTGAGATGTGCATCAAACCGAGACGCAGACTCGGCCATTATGAATAGCGTCGTCTCCCAAGCAAATGTCGTAAGACGCAATGTCACTAAATGCAACATGCATCAATACAACTATCGCAGGTCAACACGCCAACATACAGCCAATCCGCATACTCAGCAGACATCTTCACCTCGAACCTCCGTCAACCAGAATCATACGATGCAATGACATTAGGCGCAGATCACCCCGCAACTACCACAAGACGCATTACTGCATATAGCCGCACGCATCAATGTGACCATCGCGTAGGTGGCACACCCTCACACCACACCAATATAACTCCAATCAACTTCGGCTCCAAAGTTTAGAATATACTCGGAACACGCGAAGTGTCCAAACATACTCTTTCACGATCCGAATGATAGTCGACGTATCATAGCGTAAACACTAAGACGCCAACCACCAACGGACCCCCACCCAAGCCAAGTAATAGCCAACGTATCATAGTGGAATACACTAAGACGCAAGCCACCACCAGACTCCCCAAAGTCAGATGATCAGTCGACGTATCATAGTGCAACACACTAAGACGCCAACTACCATCAAACTCTTACTATGCCGAATGACAGCTAACGTATCATAGTGATGGTCACTAAGACGTCAACTACCACCAGCTATCGATGATATGTCCAACACTGAAGACATATCCATTCATGGTTCCACGTTTACCGTAGACCATATCGTCGTACAGAAGTACCACGCAACTCCATAGTAATATGTCTTATAAAGTCCCAAGTCATTCATTGCTCTTCATTATATTTATATATTTATTATTTTTTCTCTGAGCCTTCACATATTATTACTTTTATCCATTAAACCTTACTTCCATATGATATTGGTATGGGACGTTCATACAATGTACTTTCAATATAGTACTAAGAGTCGCGATCGACCTCTGTACTTACATATGTGCGGTCATACAAATGTGTCCCCGCACGGTATATAATACTTCCTTTAGAAATCACTAAGTATGGAATTGTATTTAATGGACATAATAGTGATCGTATCTTGCTATATTTTTAATAAATATCCTTTTTTGAGTATTTTAAGTGATTTTTAACTATTTTTTAATCAATTTTTGGTAATATTATTTTCTCATACTAAAACTTAAATTTCTTTAATTTAAGTATATATTATTAACTTTTATTGTGATTAAACGTTCTTAAACGTTTTATTTTCATCTTAATTGATCTTTATTATGAAATTAATAATAATATTTATTATTATTAATAGGTCGTTACAACAGCATATTTTGCATTCGTAACCTAATATATTGCATCTTGTATAAAATCTTAATAATAATATTTTAGAATTTATTCCGGAACCATGAATAATATATCAGACCCTAGATTCATTATGACAATAGGTTATAATATAAGGAAAATTAAAAAAAAAACGAAAAAGACTGCTCTTCTTCTTCGATTTTTTTTCAAATTATTTTTATTAATCCCATTTTTCACTGTACATTATATATTTAGTATACGGAACTTTAATGAGATCCTAACAAATTTCTTGTTTATAGGGAGCCATCGTATGAAGCTTTCGCCGATTTATGACTTTAAAACGTAAAAACAACAAAACTATAAGCACAACGGAAATTGTTAATGTTCATTAAATAGATGCAAACATGTATTGATAGAAACGAACCGCTATATAGATATAAATCCGCCAAAATGAATATGAAAAGCTTCAAAGAAGAAACTTAGAATTTTCCTTCATTACATGAAATTACTTTGTATCGGCTGAATAATCTTGTGCTCGCCGTATGCTTTACGAACAGCGGACTCCCGCAAAGCTGTCCTCTATAAATATAAATTCAGATGCATTTTATTATTAAAGATAAAGACTGACGCCCGTTTTGCTGCTTAACCTGTTTAGATCAAAATTATATTCTATAGCCAACATAAGAACGAAACGTATAGAAAATTTTCGAAACACTGTTTGGTTTGCGTACTTTTTCGCCGGTAAGATGCAAAAAAGGTCGACGACTTTCGACCGAGATTATTTATTCAGAGAGCTTTTCGTTAATGTCCCGGAATACCGACGTGTGACATTGGCCATCGAAGAAACGAAGAGTTATCGCCGGTTGCGCAACGTCCAACATCCGGCGACGACGATACGACGATACGACGACGTGACGACGCGACGCCGGCTCAACGCGCCGGAGGCAACGAACATCTAAACGACCAAAGCACCCGCCCGGTCTCGACTTGGCTCCAATCCGAGCTTTTTAGCGATATCTTTACGGCGTGATCGATCATTCGCCCCGTAAACGATTTTTCATTGCGCACGAAATGGAGTGATATTGCCGCCGAGAGGGATTCAAGGCTACGGTGATGCGTAGAGCTTACAATTCTCGAAGGAACAATGTTTACCTTCAAAATACTACTTCACTGTTCTTTGGAAAAAAATAAAGCATGAGTTCCATTTACATATTGTCGGTACCTAAACATGTAATAATCCTAAATACGGTAGAAATATTTCCTCGCCCACTCGCCTCGTGCAATACACGGAAATACATCACTATTCCCCTTTGTAGATATTTAAAACATAACATTACGATTGAAATATGTAGAAAAACTGCGATAAGATTGTCGCCGCCGTTGCTTCAAATGCTAAGAAAACAATGTAGAAGATTTGAATGCGTTAAGATTTTCGTCGGTGTGGTAATCAGCCGTTTAGCTCAGTGGCTAGAGCGTCAGGCCGCGAATGCCGAAGACGTGGGTTCGATTCCCACAGCGGCGACAATCTTTTCGCACTTTTTCTACATATTTCAATGTTCAATCTTAAAAGCCGTGAAACACAGAATACTGAATTTGAAGAAAAAGCTCTTTCATGTGTCAGCGACAATCGGTTAGCACAGAAAAACACGGCGGTAAGCAAAATGCACGAACTAGACGACGTAAAACCGGCTCATTTGCGACTTTATGATTCAGAACCGTCGCATCGAAAGGGAAAACTGAGCATAGCTCATTAGCATGATGTTATGGATTTATATTATATTATTGATGTTATTAACCCTGTTAATTTATTAGCTTTTAAACTAAATTAATATGAGGAAATGTACTAATTTAACTTTGTAAGATCGTAATTTGTGAGTACCCAAGAAACAGTAAAATTATACCAATTTCGTGTAACAATATTACGAAAAGAAAAATCTTAAGATTACGTTTTAACAACGTCGTAAAAAGCACAGGCACACGTGAGGACAACCAACTATTCATATAAGTAATTTCTTATACCCTAGTAAGCTACTATAAAGTAAACGACCTTCAGACAAACTAAGACGGGGACCGAATGTCTAGGAAAGGATCCAACACCGATCCCTTTGCGAACCCGTAAATATGCAAACGAATGTTCGCCGCAAAGCCGAAATATTTATGGACACACACAGAGGAGCGGGGGGGGGGGGGGGGGGTTGTAAAAACCCAACATAAATCCGCGACAAAACGGGCGAGAGTATCAATTTTACATTCGTCGACGTGTGCTGTGCGCGATTTTTACCGTTAGCCCCACCCGCCGAATCCGTTTTGCGCGGCGGTACGTGTGTTTTAGCCTTAATAACGGACCGTCCAACTGTTTTCATGCACTGATACGATTGAAGGACGTCGGACAGTCGTTGCTCTTTTGTTTTGTGCGCGAATGCTCATTTCGAATTTAAATCGCGCGGCTTCTTTCGGCCGATGGGTGGGAGAAAGAACATCCTCATAAATTCGTCTTTCGAAATACGATAGACGGAGCACAACATCGCTACTTGTTTTTTTTTTGTAAAGCGGCCAACATTAAATTTTTACAGCTGTGTTCGGATAGTTTTTTTTTTTTAAAGTTATACTTATTTTCTGTTATATATTTTTTACCCATGACCGCGAACACCGACTGCCAAAAAGCGACACGGTGACACACGACCAACTTCACGGTATTACCATAACATGTTAATGTATTTAGATTATTTTGATGCGTGCATCTGTGACGTGTATTATTAAGGTGATGGGATTTAAATGTAATGTGCTCTCAATATAATCTCAAAATTTTATCTGATCTATAAGTATAAACGTCACACCCTTGACTGACGTGATATTGGCAGAATTCTTTTAAGAGAAGCCATTGATTAAAGAAAGAAGAAGAAAAACTCCAAGTTGTTTAATTAAAGCGCATTTAATGTCTTTTTCACAAACAAAGAGTACAAGTGGCAATTACGTGCGTACATAAACACACATATAGAATAGATAGGACTAACACTATAGTATATTATTCATGATGATAGGGCCATATGAATGCGGCTTGCCGCCTCCCGTTAGACGTGATGCCATTATCTATGCATTACAAATTCGTCCAAAGCCAACTATAACAATTTGCGGTAGCCAACGCAGCATAATTCAAACACCACGCCTCGTACGCAGTGCATGTTATTTTAACAATTATTCTCAATTCTATCTATTTTCGTGCTCTTGTAATTTATGTTACGACGCGAAACAGCAAAACATCCTGCTCATTTCGCCGGAGTTTTGTTTCGTAAAACCGAATTCATCGCAATGAACTGAACAACTTGACGTCCGCCCAAAGTCAATCGCCCGACGAAAAAATTGAAAGGATCTCTCAAAAAAAGTTAACGCTCGAGACATTCCGTTAGTTGGACTTGTTACGCCAATTAAAAAGCTGAATCGGAAATATAACTTAGTTGGAGTGATCTCGATTGCCTGATAAAATGTTCACCGTTCGACGATAAATTATTACAAAGTTAAGTTGGAATTGTAATTTGATAATTTGTACTGACCTTTTATATGAACTCTTAATGTGACGAATAAAAAATCGGTTTTCACTTTGTAGAAATGTTGGATAACGGTTTCTTATTTTAGTTTACCAGGTATGACTTTTTAAATTATAACTTTCTTAATTGATGTTAATGACGCCGGCTGTCGTGTGGCGGAATGGTATCTTTTAATTAAAAATGTAGGTACATGTCATTTAAATGAATAAAAACAAACCGCTCTGCACGTGTAGATTAGGCTTTAAACATATTTTCCAATGAGATTCCTTTTGCAACGTCAAAACTAATCCTTTGAACCTAACAACATCCTTCAACAGCCTTTGGGAAAATATCAGTTAGAGAACAAAAACTTTCACAAATTGTCAAAGCTTGCATATCCCATACAAAACTATCAATTAATACAATGACATGAAGACTAAATAAGTCTGAAAAGGTCGTTGGCTAAACGTGGGTACAGAGGTTTCAAATTTCTTGTGATTGAGGACGTTTCAATAGAATGAAGTCGCTATTTCATTGCTGCGGAATACATGATCATGTTACAAGTTGTTTGCTAGTAGTTTATTAGTAGTTACAATATCAGCGAGGGCAACAAAACCGTTTACAGTCCATGTGTCACATAAACATATAACAAGATTTAATTTGTTCGATCAATACTTATTACAAATATAACATAACGTTGTAGGTTCTTCTTAATATTTCGGTACCTTTGAATAAGGGCCACATTTTAATAACCGAAAAGCAATGAATATTTTGTAGGGCCAATCTTTCACCTTTTTTTAATCATTTTGTTTCACATTTGTTTTAAAAGTCCAAATTATTTTTTTTCACACTTCATAGCTTAACATCAGGGGAACCGCCACTACTCGCTTGCCACCTTCTCACATAAACTGGCCAAGTGCGAGTCGAACTCGCGCACGTGGGCGTCCGTACCATTATATTCTATTAACACAGCAAAAAAAACATGTCTGTTGTATGGGAGCCTCAACTTCAACTCTTTTTATTGTTTTATAATATTTGTTGTTATAACGGCAACAGAAATATACCATCTGTGAATATTTTAATTGTCTAACTATCACGTTTCATGAGATACAGGCTAGTGACAGACGAACCGACAGATAGCGAGTCTTAGTAATAGAAACCCGTTTTACCCTTTGCATACGGATCCTTAAAAATCACAAACGGTTCATATGATGATATGTAAAATGTTGCAAGCGTGTTATCACACAGTTTGGAGTTCTAGCTACTTCACTCACCAGAAGGCATACTTTTACTTTACACCAATAATATGCGAAAACATGTACCATCCCTGCTCGAGATGCCTATTCGTGTATGTAGCAGGAGCTGTTAAATAAGCTGTAGTCTTCGTTAAGTCCTCGTTTCCATTTTAAACTCAGCCAACATAAAGCCGTTGGTCCCGCGTGCTAATGAGTGCTGTGGGCGCATCACTAATAAAGGGAGATAAATGAACTTTAAACGTAACACGGTACTACCTTTGTATCAAATTTACTGTTACTCATAATACAACAGCATACGTGACTAAACAACATGACATTGTTCATAGTGAAGCCTGCGACATAAATACATATATTCCATTTCCCAACTGACAATGCGCGACTCCGTTACGTCGTCCATTGTGTGTATGTGTTTGCTAGCGTGTGTTTTTTTTTTTTCACACCATATTCGGCGACAGCGCGTGGGTGTCGCTTTACATTCGCAACGGAATCGTGTCACGGAAAGTAATAAAATCTTATCGAATGCGGTTATCTAGATATTGTCGATAGCGAAATCGAACGTAGCTGAAAACTGGAATTGTGGTGGCATGGTTATTCAGTATTTCGGATTTTAAAAAATTAATAGTCAAGATAAGTGATGCATCATTAGCCATCATATCAGCTTTTACCAAAAACAATAGGTTAAAAAATACGTAATTTATAGATGGTATGAGTAAAATTCTATGAGCTAATCATCCAGGGAATAAACAGTAATAACTGAAAGTATTACCCTTTGAGCCATTGCAATAAATTGAGTTACCATACTTTACACACAAACTCTCCAATTAAATATTCTCATTCACAATTCTCAGTTGTCCATTTTGCATGCATAAAGGCTTCGGGGCAATAATTTGTATAAACTTAACATACAAAGAATAATGTTTTACTACAGTAAGAGCCGTGATAGCTCAGTGTCTGGGGCGCTCGCCTTTAATTCAAAATATTCGAGCAACCTGAGTTCGATCCCCGGTGTCGGCACCTATGAAGTTTTTAACTTTAAGTGCTGACTTATCACGTGCTCCGCGGTGAAGGAAAACATCGTGAGGAAGCCTGCATATTTTCGAAATAATAACAAAAAAAATATTTTTCGAAGATGTGTGAAGTTCGCCTATCCGCAGTGGGGCCGCATGGTGGACTATG